TGCCCAGTGGAGCTCTTTCTGTTTTGTTTTTTTTTAGGTACCCCCTCGTATTCTTTTTTCTCGGTAAAACACCTATACAATTGTAGAAATGATTTTTAATTTACTCAGAATTATGAAGCCACCTGCATTTTACACATGTGTTACATGTTATGATACTCCAATTGAAAAACTAATCAACTATGACTGGGATAAAGTATTGATATTAGACTTCCATTTCTTACACACAGAGGTTTATTTCGAAGAAAAAGTGTGTGAACATATTTTGGGCTCAACTGATGACTGAAGAAAGTTTTTTCAGTGATGTACTTGCCTTAGTCTTATTAAAAGGACTTCAGAAAATGAAGGACTTTTGAGGTTAGGGCTAATAAAGATTGTTTTTTTTTAAACAAAACTCAAGTGGACCACTTCCCAAATCACTGAGACTGTGCTAGCAGTTTATAGGAATGTTGTCCTTTATGAATCATTTTTAGGATGAAGGATCTAGAAGTTTAAGAAAGGTCGGGAAGACCACAAAGATAATCCAAGAAAGGGAATATCATTAACCGTGATGAATGAAGAAACTGTGGCTGAAGTCCAGAAACGGAAAGAAGACTAAAAGATTACAACTTCTGCTGTGGCTGCCAAAGTCGAGATCTCACACAGCTTGACATTGTCAAGTTCACGTGAACATTTTTGGTCTCATGAAGCTTTCAGCCCAATGGTGTGAAAAGAACTGCCCAACAATCGGCCAGGTCAAAGAACTAGTATGCGAAGCAAGACGGAAGCTACTGAAGATAATCGAATGCGGTGAATGGGGATGGACGGCGATAGGAGACAAACCTAAGTCTCAGTCAGCAAGAAGCACCTCAGCACATCTCGAGCAGTCAGCACTCCTCCCCCAGTGGAGATTAGTGTGCTGGTTTGATGCGGGGCAGATTTTACCGGCGCTGCCAGCCCCCAAAGAACGAAGAAGAAAAGCCTTGGCATGACTGCTGTAAGACAGCTAATGACAAGCACGGTAGTCTGAGCCCATACTCCCGTGGTTTGGGAGCCATTTATACGGCACCACTAAGATGCTAAATTACTATTACGTTGGGTACAATGTTGAGAAAATTGAAAATACAACCCTAACACCAAATAGTGAAATAGTGCTATGCTTTTGCTACATAGAGGTAAGCTATTTTTTGTAATGGGTGTATGTTAAAAAGCATTTACCAAATCAATAACCAGAGTGCTGGAAGTTACGTTGTTTGGTCCAGTAGAGATACTACATTCTGGAGACCATTCAAGCATGATTAAAAGTTTATGGTAAATTTCATTTATCCTATAATCCACCTGTTTTGAGCAGAGACCATAGAAAGAAAAGGGGGGGGGCAGTAACCCAGGTGCCATTCCTTTTACCCCCTACTGATAGCAGCCCTTGCCCGTGGCAACCATGTGTGTGTGTCAGGAGAGAACCGTACTCCAGACAATTGAAATGGTGAAATTCACAAAGTTAAAGCCTCAGGCCTTTCGTCCACGGTATTTTTTGGTGGATTCAAATCTCCCACCTGTTGGCTAGTAGTGAGAGGGGAAATTGCAGATAATTTAAGATTTTCCACTCAGGGATTACTTGCTTTCCTGGATATATTTCCTTTAAGATCAAGCTAATGGTAACTTTTGTTTTTCTTTAAATATTGATACTTCTCAGTTTATTTTGCACCATAGCAGGGAGAATGTCAGGCAGGATCAAGCTTATATTCTATTGCCAAAGGCAGAAATTATAATAATTGTTTTTTGCTGATTATAATGTCTTTTCCATATTATAAAACTGTCATGTAATATTACTTTTCTTTTGAATACTTCTTATTATGTGGCTGTTTATTTATTTATTACAGTGTGTAGCACATTCATACTCTGTGTCAATAAACATCCAATATTTGTTTATTTTAATAGAGAATTTCTGAAATTAAATTTATTGCACAATCCTTTGTATTGAGACAAACATATTTTTGAATAGTTTGGAAGAATCATTTTATCTTACCATACTAAAATGCTTTAAAATAAATGTGCTATATTTGTAATATACATTTTATATCAATGTAAGACATGTAGTTTTATCTCATTTGATGCGTTAAATCATGGTGCGTATTAAGACCTTTTCTAATCATGGGAATCCCTTGCACTGGGGTCGATTCCAACCCCCGGTGATGCTGTACAACATAGTAGCAGTAGGGTTTCTGAGGGTGTAAAACTATACAGGAGCAGGCACCTTCTCCTGAGGGGTGAGTGGTGGGTTTGAACAACCAAAGTGTTTTAAAAAAATTATTTTATTGGCATATACATCACACGTCATGCAATTTAATAATTCATTCATATTAATAAGACTTGTGCAATCATTACCACAAGCGATTTCAGAACATATTCTGTACTGGTTGTTAGCTTCCCACTTCCCTCCAATCCTGCCTGCAGTGCCCCTGGGTAATTATTAATCCAGTTATGTCCCTATAGATTCACCTATCCGAAATTTCATATACAGAAAATCAGAAAAATCATAAATGGGAAACAAAGAACAAATGACTATCCCAAATGGAGAAAAACCTCAGTTGAAAAGAGAGTGAAGCAATTATTAAAACCCGAAACTACTTTAAAATGGGTCAAAAGGGAGATCAAATGAAAAAGTGTTACATTTTAAGCTAAATAAATCTGCCCCACCAACTTTACAATGCTCTCTGCCTGATAGCAAGGCTATTCACATCTTGAACTATGGTCAGAGAGACTTTAACTGAGGCTTAATCAGCAAAGGGGCCCTACAAATGGATTCTGGGCTTCCACTGTCATCCAGAGCCTTTGAAACCTGGGTGTTCAGAATTTAAGCTCTGATATATTCCCTCCTTTGGTATTTCTATTTTATTTTCTACAGTCCTTGGATCACGTAGCTGATTTGCTGCTTCCATGTGGACTTAGTTGACACCTTAGATGACTGCTTGTTTTAAGAGAAGCCTTTCAGACCCCAGACACTATTCTTTCTCATGGCTGGGAAGCCATCAGATAGTCAAAGTTTATTGTGCCAACCTGGCCGATAAACACATGTGGCGTTAATTGAAGGGCAGAGAGATAAATGGATCAGTGAGTCTCACCTTTCTAGTTCTCAGGTCTCTTGCTTTGTGATGGTTGGACCAGAGCTGCCTTAGGGTGCAATTGCCTTAGCCAGTTCCCTGCTTCAGCTGGCAAGGCTTACTTCCTGCAAGATATCCCCAAGGAGAAGCTGCATGGACCTACCCTGATGCAGTCCTGGGTGCTGGAGCAGCCGTGTGGAGACCCCTGACAGTGCTGAGATGCTTACATGTTCACTGATTCAACTTTTCTCCTGCAGTCGGCATAATTACATCTGTTTTGTGAGATGGAGGAGAACTTTGTGGATTGGTGTCAGACATATGGCTTAATGGGTTAATGTTGGACTTGTGGGATTGGGCAGCACAGGGTTGGGATGTTTTCTTGATGTGCACTTAACCTTTATATAAAACTCTCTCTTGTACATATGAGTGTCTGTGAATTTGTTTCTCTAAAGTACCCAGACTAACACAACCACACATTACAACAGCACTGTTATCATAAGTGATTTGTTTATGAGAATGAATATTGAGTAGGGACATGTAATAAGAACTGATTGTTCTTTGATTGGGGTTAGAATTAAATATGAGCCCCAAATTCATTCATATATCTATGGTTTATAAATGTCCCTTGTTCACTTTAGAGACAATATTATCATTTTATGACAGAGAACATTATAAATCATCCCCCTGGGGCATAAGGTAATTGAGTTGATAGTGTCTTTAATTTAGCCAATGGTATAGAATTTAAAACATTGTTGAGGAAAGTGAACTATACAAGAATAGCCAGCTTCTGACTGCAGTACTTGAATTG